GTAGTCTGCACCCCCCCTCCACGAACAATCTCATGGTGGGCACAAAGAGCCATTCCGACGCCCGTGGAACGCAACCCAGTGGAGAACTTGGTCTCAGCGTGAGCCAACATTTTGAAACCACTACAGTTGCTTATCTATGAAGACATTGGTTTTGTGATAAAAGTTGATAATGAGAGCCGCTTACATCTTTCTGGGTGGCGTATTTGAGAACATGTTCACGGTATGGCTTATCATTGGGAAAATAGGCCATCCCGGTGTGTAGGCCAGGGTCCTTAGCGATGGATGATCACATCAGGTTCTTAAGTCGAAAGTTGGCATCCATCACTATGATCAGAAGGTAAAGGAATCTACAATGAGAACCATGGTCAGGCAACAATCACATATGGATTTATCACTCTACTCACTTCCACTTCGAGTCAACATCCTTCAAGTTGGCCGGCAGGTTGACACCTGGGACTGGACATGCTGGACAGTCAGGGGCAAGGTCTCTGGCCCCAGTGGCGACAAGACCTCCTTGAATGTTGCCTCATCCTGCACGTTTCATCAATTTGAGATGTCGAAACATGCGAATCATTCGCATGAACGATTTATAACCCGTCTTAGGAAAAAAAGGGAAATATGAGCGATGGCAAATGGTCAGAAATGACAACACTTACCTTTGGAACGTTCAACTCCGTATTGTCAGTCAGGTACTCCATGGCCTTGTAGTATTCGTGAGCGGATAACTGCCTGCCAAAGTGATGACGTGGAATGTTTTGAGTAGATGAAAAGTTGCACAAGTCTGAGGTTGGTGAATGGTTGCAGGGAACCACTCGCTTCAGAGGAGCTGCTGCCGATTGCTTATCCTGTTGTCGCATCCACAGAAATCCACGGCAACGTAGTGCAACCCATTTGTGTGAAGGACCATAAAGTCCTTGTGTCCAGGTTGTGGCGTGACACATCGAGAACTGGCAGGGTGGCCGAGCTGAACTCTGAGGCCCAAGTCTTTCAGTCATACTTTGTCGAAACCTGCGCCATCCCATTTCTAAAACAATTGATCAGTCAACTAAAAGTGAATGAAGGTCTCATGATCAACTGACATTGATGATGTGGAGAGGTAACTGACGATGGCGCTTGAGCGTGCAGTTCAAGCACTCTGCTAATGGTCCCAGACAATCCTCACAGCGGTAGATTCCAGCCGGGGAGGAGCACGACATGCACCCATGGAAGTGTTCCCCCCCCCCGCCCTTCAAGCCTAAGCAATTCAAGCAGATATTCCTCCCTATATCCTGGATCACACCAATCCTTTCCAGCCCACTCGCGCAACGGAGCATCCTGAGAGCCCGTGTTTGTCAAAACACAATCAGTTCTCAGGTTTCGAGCCACTTACCAAAGTGGGGTACCGTTTTGGAGGTCTTTATTGTCCTCCACTGATTCCTGCTGGAATCCGGCGGAATCCAGGGAATTCCTGGAATTCCAGAGGAATCAAATTTGGCAGAGGGCCCTGCCAAATTTATCAAACAATTCCGCGGAATTTTGAATGGAATTCAAATTCCGCCGGAATGATTCCAGTGATCACCCGGAAGGAATAGCCACGGAATGAGACGGAACAGAATTTCTGATGCCCAAATCAAGCGTCGGCGTTTGCCGACGCTTGATTTCCGACGCTTGATTTGGGCATCAGAAACAAACAACCCACTCTCTCATCTCAACCACCACCATCGTCGACGACGCCCACCCATCGCCACGTCACCACCATCACCCGTGGTCACCACCATCACCCGTGGTCACCACCATCACCCGTGGTCACCACCATCACCCGTGGTCACCACCACCCACAACGCTTGTCAACCGGCAACCACGACCACCAAACACGGGAACGCCACGTCACCGATGCCACGTCGCTATCAGCGACGTGGCAACCAAACGACGAACGACGACGATGTCGTCGTTCGTTGTCATTCAGAGGTGAGTCCCCCCCCCTCCTCCATCCCAACCCACCCCGGTAACACCAGCCCTAGCTGTAAGAATTGACCAAATCCCTATGGACTTGAGCACAAGATGCTATTGCATAGGGCCTGCATTCAACCACTTTCCAAAAAGCAAGAATGTTCCACACTCAATTTTCTCATAATAAATGCCCGGAATTTTCGAAAAAAACTGTTCTGTTTTGATTCCATGTGGATAAAATAACCCTAGGTTGGGTTTTATATGTATTTCATGTTGGAGAAATGTTTTCCATAGGGTTTAGCCATCAATACATCATTCCATGTGGCTATTTTTAGTTTCCTCAGCTTCTTTGACCAAAATGATTCCTTGGAAACCATTTCCATCATCCGAAACCATGCATATATGTTCTCTGCTTGAATTTTCCATCAATGCATGTTTTGAGATGTTTTGCTGCCTTTGTTTTTGGCGTTTTGCCACCTCTATTTTTGGCCTGCATTCCATCATCCCATCAATTGTCCTCCCCACCCATCAAAATCATGGATACATCTGTCAGAATCCCTCCAGATATGTCTTCCTCATCTATCCTTCCATATTTCTGTATTTTCTGCCCTCATATGTCTTTTTTTTTTTGGTATGTCACTATTTTATTTTTTTATAAACCATTCTACTAAATTCCTTTACCATCCCCGATGTCTTTTTTTGTTTCACTTTCGTGCCTTTGTCCCCCATTTCAGCGGACATTCCAATGGGTAGTTAGCGCACAACGTGGTATAGTATGGCAACGAAGCGATGCGAAATGACGAGTAAGTACACGAACGAAACGACGAGTATCAACATCACGTGCACGAGGAACCACGCCAAATGCTGAAGTTCATTTGGACGAACTGGCGCCGGGCGGACGAGTTTCATACCAAGCATAGTATGGCAACGAAGCGACGCGAACGACGAGTCTACACGAACGAAACGACGAGTCTCAACATCACGTGCACGAGCAACCACGCCAAACGCTGAAGTTCGTTTGGACGAACTGGCGCCGGGCATATGGGTTTCATACCAAGAACAATAAATATATAAGTACAACAAGAAAGACAAGATAAGTAACAACAAGAAAGACAAGATAAAGTACGCAGAAATTTAACAAGCTAAGTACACCAGAGAAAATTTAGCACACGAAATTTAGTTACAAGAGATTCAGTACGCGAGAGTCCAAGAAATACAGGAGTGCCCAAAGACACGAGATATGAAAGAATATGAGAGTCCAAATAACTCAACGATAGTGCAAGTATGCGTGCCCAAAAAAATATGTAAGTCCGACGATGTTCATGAGAAAGCGACGCGACGAAGGAAGGTAGGTCGTCGAAAGATCCAAACGGGCCTAGCGTTTACCTAGCGTCGACATGACCTTGATGGCTTAGAAGTTGGAGCAGGCGGCGTGCTACAGGAAGGATATTATGACCAAGGGATGCTGATTTCTGAAAACGAACTTACTGGACACCCAATAGCCCGTCGAGCACCCACCCCA